CTGTAAAACCACCTGTAATTGAATAAATGCAAGGTAGATCTGTTTAATGTCATACTGTTGAACATTCCAGGCAGAGCAATGATATATTCATAGAAACAAGCAGGTGATGGACCCCCATACAAAAAGTTACACCATGGACCCTTAAGTATTGCATCCAGTCTGCATAATGATGAGTATTACAAAAATTAAGTAACTTGGGGTTTGTTGTTTTCATAGGGAGACCATGCTTCAAGCTTTAAGATTTGTGATTCAAGGTGCTGGTTCAAAGGTGGACCCGGCCATCCGCAAGAACATCACCACCACATTACTGGGCATGCTGGGACATGATGAGGTATGACATGAGGAGCCAGTGCCTCTGAGCATTGGGTCTGTCCTGGGAACCGGCTTTTCTTTAAATTCTTTCACATATTTTTTCACAAAATAACTTTCTCTGAACAATTTTGAACTTTGACTACAAAAACACATTTCTTGACTAGTGTAGTGTAGTATTACTTCTCTCAATTCTGTTACACTTGCACCTACTACTTTTGAAATCAATTAAAAACTTGAAGGTAAAATTGGCAAATTTCTTACAACCTTAATTTGAAGACTAGTAAGCGCCCAATTTGTTATTCACATGATTTGATGATATGGATCAGTTGTTTATTTGAAATAGCTTCCTTTGTGGTGAACAGAAAGCTGAAGTGTAGCAAAGGATGTGGTTTTATGCAAATGAAGTCTGACATGTCTGACTTTGTGTTGTAGGATAACACTCGAATGGCCTCTGCTGGCTGTGTGGGCGAGCTTTGTGCCTTCCTCTCAGACGATGAGCTGAAAATGGTGTTAACGCAGCATGTGTTGGGTCGGTAATTCGTCCAGTCATGTCACTTTTACTACAGTTACAGTTCACAGTTTGTCTGTAATTATCCAATCAATTTCCTTTGCAATGTCACAGCAATTAAAGATGCACAAATCACTTACCTCAAGGCATATGTTAAGACATTACACATTATCACATATTTTTCATTCCTATATTATATATTGTAATTTATCTACAAAAAAAAAAATATATATATATATATATATAAAATAATATAATATATATATATATATATATAAATATATATATATATATATATATATATATATATATATATATATATATAAATATATATAAATATATATATATAAATTAATGTAGCTAAAGTAATTGAGTGATAAATAAAGTTCACAAAATTTCCACCAGATATTTCATGTTTAGCTTCTGCCTACATCTGGTCATTGACTTCGTATTTGATTTGTGTGAAGTTCTACATGCTGAATATGTTCTGTTTTGTGGGCATCAAACTGAATATAATGTATATTGACTATAATGAGTTATACATTGACCAAATAAAAATGAATGAATGACTTGATTGCATTTTAATTCTCTTTTTTAGCTGATGTGTCTGGTGTGGACTGGATGGTGCGTCACGGTCGAAGCATGGCCTTGGCTATTGCCGTCAAATCTGCTCCAGAGAAACTGTGTGCAAAGGAGTACAATGACACTGTGACAGAGAGCATTCTGGCAAATGCCACTGCAGACCGGGTGAGTCACAACAGGGTTTCGGTATTCTTGCTACAGCACCAATAATTTACCAAATATCCTTAATATTTCAGATGCTATAAAAATATTAAAGGTGCACTGTGTAACCTTTCTGGTGGACTATCTGCTATCCTTGTTAATTGGCTCCTTATTTTAATAGTTCCATTTAAAAGCTGTTAAACTATTTAAACTATGTTTCTGTATGTGTTTTACCATTGCAGTTGTAGTTTACATTACCTGTGTGTACATATCATTCCATATTAACATACACAGGTCAAAAGGACTGCGTACCCTCATTCTATTCATAGTTTCTTTAGAGTTTCTTTAGACTTTCTGATGGGTACAGGAAGTAGCTGAAACATGTAAAAAGGTAAACAAACTCTCCTGTCTGACAAAAAGAATTATATTAATTGTATAAATAGAATGTGTAAAAGAAAAATCCAAATCTGAATAAAACTTTGGTGTAAAGAATATAATTTCTGTCACTACAATACTGATTTTGACTTTTTGTTTGCAGATCCCCATAGCGACCAGTGGGATCCGGGCTCTGGGGTTCCTCATCAGACACCAGCTCCGATCTGAGGGCGGCAGCAGCATCTCACAAAGAATCATAACACAGTTTGTCAAGGTAAAACTGTGAGATATACTAAGTCTAGACTGTTTTGCTTTGTAATGCACTGCCTGGCTTCTGCCTTTTCTTGCTTTTTCTTCTTTTTGTTTTCTTCCATAAAATGTATTGCATATATACATATAAATGATTATAAACATACATACAGATAAACAGTATACACAAAGATTACAAGACATGGGGGTAGTTAAATGATTCAGACTGATAACTTAACTTCTTTTTAATCTGATAACCTTCCAAATAAACAAGCTAATTACATGTTTTCTAAGAATTTAAAATAATGTTTTAGATGGCATTTGAATTGAAAGATTGAAAAGATATTAGGACTGGTATTATTCTATTTACAACAATGAATAAAATATTGTATACATGTTTTTCATTGATATTATCAAAGTAATACAACAAATGCCTTTCTTCTTCAGTGTCTGCAGAACCAGTCCAGTGACATCAGGCTGGTGGCGGAGCGGGTGCTGTGGTGGGTCTTCAAGGATCCAGCTGTTCCTGCGATGGAGGCTGGACTCATGAAACCTCTGATCAAGACTCTGCTGGACAACACAAAGGACAAAAACACCACTGTCCGAGCACAGAGCGAACACACAATCGTCAATCTGCTACGGCTAAGACAAGGAGACGAAACTATGCAGGTAAGAAACAGTTTATGGTATTCTTAGACTTTAGACAAACTTTACTGATCCAAATTACTTGGACACAGTAGCTCACACATCACAATGCATTGTAATAACAAAGAGAAAAAAATAAATAAATAGTAATAATACATTCTGAACACATAGCAAAAACAAATCAAATAACACTTCATTATATAACTGTATATGTAGAAGTAAAAATAAAATAAATTAGAAATAAGTAATAAAATATCTGCAATATACAAGAGATCATGAGGAAAAACAGCGCAAAAATGATATGATGATTGACAGGATATAAAGTTATCTTTTACACGAGGGTGAGTTGTTGTACAGTTGTATGGAGTATGGTTTGAATGTAGTCCTGTATCTCTCACTGTTTCAGTGGAGCTGTAGGAGCCTGTTGGAGAATGAGCACTTTTTGAGGCGCCTTGTGGCCTTACTCCTGAAGTTGCCGTGCCTGCCGCCATCATCATTTGGGCTATATTATTTTGTATAATACAATTCATATGTCATATTCTAGCTGCAAAACTCTCCCAAATTCTCATTGAAATGAACGGGATTGTTAAACCGGAAGTGCCACCACAAGAAAGCACAGTTTAGGAGCATTTAGAGACAAAAATGGATGGGGCTGAATAAGGTGAATAACTTTGACATATTATATAATGGATGTTTTGAAATTATAGCATAATAAATATACATTCCCTGTAAAAAATTTAAAACTTCACTCTCAAAAAGAGCTCTTCTTCTTTTTGGTCCTTTTTGTTTGCTGGAAATGACACATGGTTCACAATATAATATCACAATTCTGTAAAATATGCAATAATCAATGTATTATCCATGATGACATTCTGTGGTGTCACTATTTAAGACTCAAATACTTTTTAACAATATTTCTTTGTTAAACCTCTACATCCGAAAACACAAAATGAAAGACATCCATTTTAATCAACAAAACATGTCAAATGTATTAAATGAACAAGTTTTCTTTCTCTAAGAAAACCCACTGATCTAAAGGTTGGCAGTTTGAATCCTGCTCGTGACATAAAAACATCATTGGTTGAGAGATCAGATGTGATTCCAGCTCCCACAGATGAATGCTGCCATTGTGTTCTTGGGCAAAACATTTAACCCACCTTGCCCCAAGTGTATATCGATGCTGTATCACAGAATTTAGTAATGCAATATCAATATCACACTCGACTAATAACATTTGTTTCCATTTTACCATCAGACTATCACTTCTATCCTGGACACTGCGAGTAATGACTTGTTGTCCGAGTGCCATCGTCGATCTTTGAAGAAAATCTCCGGCCTCCCAGACTCCAATGAAGAGATTGACGACACCATTTTAACGTGATGGACTATTCTTCACTGTATGAGGACACCCAAACATCTCCCTTCAAAAGCCCACATTAATTTGCCAACTTTTTTGATGGATCTTTGTTGTGTCACTTTGAATCATTATTTTATCGGCCTTTACATTAATTTTACTAGGAACATTTTTCTTTTACCCCTACACGTTATATTGTGTGCTATCAAAATCACAAGGCCAATCCATTTGAAATTTGAGTGTTTTGTCCTTTATTTTACCAAATTTTGTGAATTTGTGAACTGTCAATAATACAACACCAGCTGACGTCAGTTCTGTATTTTACTTCTGCTGAGTTTCCTAGGAATGTGGTGAGATCTGTTTGGGCTACAGCAACCTCTATATAAGAATAATATGTTCTTATCAGTGATATGGTTGTAAAATAAAAAGGTGATTTTCAGATATTGTGTGACTTTTTTCTTGCAAAATACTTTGCCATACATTACATTAATACAAATTATACGGGGGTGGAAATGGACGATATATAAGGGAAATCAATTAACAAAATTTGAACTCGTTGACGCAGATATGAAGCATCAGGCATGAAATGAAAAACTGGATGACGAAGCCCAGGTCTACACCGAAAATGCCCACCATGGTGTCCTAGTTATCGTGCGTAAACCCTTCATTTATGCTCCTCTTTACATTGAAATTAAATACACGTTAATAAAATCCTCAATGGATTTGAAGACATGTTCAACTCACCGCTCCTTCACCTGTAGTGTGAACCGAAGGGCCGGTGCGCTTTGGCCGGAGTCTGCGCAGTGAGATCGTGTCACAGTTGGGTGCAGGCAGTTCCACAGAAGCAGAAGGAAGCGGAGTTTCCGGCTGTTTGCAGCGCACACAGAGGACCGCTGACGCCGCGAAACCCGACACAAACGCCGCCGGTCCGGGGGGGCTCCACGTCCAACGTCGGTGCGGTCGTCTGCTGTAACACTGGGGGACTTGAGGGTTTGTGTTGAGCATTATAGACCGACCTGTGATTGGAGCCACACCGGACAAACGAGCGGCACAAGGCGGGCGTGAGCCACCACCAGCTACCGGCGGCAATGGCCAGGGACTACGATTACCTCTTCAAGCTGCTCATCATCGGTGACAGCGGTAAGCGAGTCCGGGGATGCGTGACGGGAAGTGGGCCTCTGTATCATTTTACATGAATGTGGGAATGAACACAGCGCTGGGTCTTTTCTATGCTGCACGGCACGGCAATTTAATGAATCTGATTATAATTTTAAGACCAACAATGTTTTAATTCCGAGGCAAATGCAGCATTAGCGCGCTGCGGGGAGAGGGCGGAGGTGTCGTCCGGGTGGTGCATGTCTCAGGCCGGATATCGCCTCCACATCTACGACCCCGGCCTCTTGATTATTCTTTTTACCTTTGGCCTGGACGCGACTTTCAAACGACAAAATGACATTGGAACATGAAGTCAACCGCGTGACTTTAAGATCCTCTGTTTTATTCTCTGTGTTTGTCCATTAGCCTGCTAAGGCTAGTTGGAAGTTGTGCTAACATCTACTGAGCCGTGTTGCTAGTTTGGGGTTTTTGGACAGGGACTGGTACGTGTGTTTTTATACGGTCTATGCTCCAGACGAACACAGGGGCTCATCTACAACATTTACTGAGAAATTTAATAAAATATTAAATATCCACAGTTCAAAATGTTTTTTTCATTCAACTCTGACTCGACTGTAAAAGCTAACCACAGAAACCACAGAAGTGAACGCGGGGAAAATATCTATGTAATAGGTCGCAGATAATGTCTTTCTGGCTGCTTATTGCATGTGCAAAACGTTACTGTGGCCCTCAGCGCGAATACAATGTACTAAAGTCAGAATTACCTTGTGTTATTTAGCTTGTTAGCATGCTAATGTTGGCTGCAGGAAAGCAGGAATGTTGCACTTCTGTCTGGCTTGCAGACAGCTGTTGCTTAATGAAAAGGACAGTATTTTATAGGAGTATCTTTATATTTAGCGATAGATATTGCGTATTTTTGGCACCATATCATGAAAAATCAATTTTCCCAGTTCAGTCCAGTGCAAGCCATTTTGACTGGACTAATTATCATTTTCTTCTCGTTATAATAGATAAAGTGAGTGGTGCATATTGGCAGAATTTGCATATTTCCTGTCGTTTATAGTGCAAAGCACGGTCAAGGTTTTGTAGCACATGAGCATTTGAGCATCTGAACTCCCCCTGTTCCAGTGTACATTGATAATTGTGAACACTTTTTGTTGCTAGTAGTGTATACATTCATTGACAGCTCTGACACTGCTGGCTCTTTGGTGCCTGTCACACTGGGGCCACTGTCCCTTAGAATGAGCCTGAGACCACCACTGTCACTGTGGTAGACTGTAAAAAAGACTGTGAAACAAATCGCCTGACTTTTGGTTCAAAGTTCTGTCTCTGATAGGCAGCACACTTAAAGATCCCATTCACTGCATATAAAGCATAAGACCACAGGATTCTATATCATTATAACCTTGAAGGCTGCAATTTGGAATGCCTTATAAAAAAAATACAAGTCACTAAAATTGGTCTCATAACATTTTTATTAAATTCATCATAAGTCAAATTACTAGAAGTTACACACATTCTACTCTTTATTTCAATTGGACATTGCCATTTATAAAGAAGAAAATCCTTCCAAAGGATTGCAAAGTAAAGGGCAGTTGCTGTCTTAACTCTTTTTGGAAGAAATCTCTATCAACCTGACGGTTGATGGATGTTGTTTTCATGCAATGGACTCAAAATCTTGACCAGAGGTTTACAAGTCACCTCTTGTGACTTGGTTCAGATGACTCATTAATGTGAATTGCTGACATTTTATTTATTATATCCCTATTTTTTCTTTATAGCATAAAACATTGATTCACACTCAAAAGACTGTCTAAGAATAGATTGTTAAAAATAGAGAACACATGAATACTGTTCTTGGACAAAAGCCTGGTGCTCAAATTGACAAAAAAAAATTCAACTATAAATGACATAGCACTTTGAAGATTATTATTAAATTCAACAAAGGAGTTGAGCGCTTTATGCCGGCCGAAACAAACAGCTGACAATAATACAATAGGTGAAGAGAGTTTGAATTGGACCCACCCACGGGCCATAGCCTGCCTCTTCACCTTTTACTTTTGTAACATGATGAGGCAGTGACAGTGAACGTATCCCACTCCTGCTCCTCCTCGCCTTGTCTTGGATAAAAAAAACCCAGATAGAGTTTCATCAAGTCCCCAAAAAGTCTCCCGAGTTATCGGTCTTAAGTTACTAAAGTTATAGAAACAGTCTGGTCTGAATTGTTGCTTGAGGCACTGTTTAATTTAAAATGTTATTCAAGACTCAATACAAACCTCCCAAATATGCCATACTGTCCTTGGTATTGTAACGAGAATAGACAAAAACTGTATAGTTGGCCTTGTCAAACTTGCACACATCTTTTCTACTTATTATTTGTAATTAATTTATTATGTAGGCCATTCATTTTCAGTGGCCTTGTTCACATGTACACCAAAATCTAATTGCAATCTGATTTCTGGACCTTTTAAGATGACATAAATGACATTCAAAGTGCAAAAAGTGATGTGAGTAATATGAGGGAATATGGTAATATGGTGTTATAATTCCTACTGTTATATTCAACCGATATTGAGTGTGTATGTTAATGCAGTGATGAGGACCAAAGAGAACCTTTTTAATTAATCTTGTGGCCTTATATGTAATAGAAATAATTGTGATATCTTGGACTAGGGTTGTCACAACAAAAGTATCCAAAATCAGTATTGATTAGTATTTGAAAATAGTATTGAAGCTATACTACTTTGAGCAAGTATCGCTATCAAAGTAAAAATCATCAGAATAATTTTGAGCTGTATCTGAGCAAGTATAAGAGCACATAGACTAGTATACGCCCATGGACCACTATGGAACCTACCTGGACGACTGAGGGATTACACAGAGATAAGGCCTTATGAGACAAAAGAAAGTACTATGATTTAATGTAAATCTCTTGTCCAAATAAAAAAAGTGTATTCCTCAATATCGAAACCAAGTTTGAAATTTTAGTGTTGTAAAAAAACACTAGCTTGGCCTTGGACTATGCTTTTCACATCAGCCGTGATTCAGTGAAACCAACATGAAGACAATAGTGCTGTTTCTACATCTGTGTATAAACACAGTAGCCAAATTAATACATAATACATTTAAAAATATTTTTGTCATTCTCTAGCCTGTTACAGTGATGGCAAGAAAATGTTACCCTTTACCTCTACAGTTGCATTTTTTTCCAAGCTTGTTTTTTTTCCCTTAAGTATTCTGGTGAGACAATATGATTACAGCTAAGGCACTGAAAACAAACATCTGCTTATAATATATCTGTATGGATTAGCATTTATTATAATACATGAGAAAGCAAAACACAGTTCATTCTCATCTTTTTCAAGATCTAAGTTGTTCCTTGTCTTTGCATGTGTGTTCCAGGAGTGGGGAAGAGCAGTCTCCTTCTACGATTTGCAGACAACACATTTTCAGGTGAGTGCTGCTTCTTGTGCAGATATTTTTAGTCACTGCCGCTATGTTTGTCCTGACTCTTGTCCTCTGTATGTGCTCTTTTCAGGTAGCTATATCACCACGATCGGGGTTGACTTCAAGATCCGGACTGTGGAGATCAACGGAGAGAAGGTCAAGCTCCAGATCTGGGATACGGCAGGACAGGAGCGCTTCCGAACCATCACCTCCACGTGAGTTTAACTGAACACAATCTGAACCATCACCTCTATGTGAGTTTCACTGAACAGAAGCTTCATGGTTAAATGAACAAACTGATAAGTCAACAGGACAAGGTTTGTGCCAAATGACCTAGATGGGCCCCAGAGCTGTTGTTCACCTCTGCTCATAATTCTGTTCAAAATGACCACAGTAATAACCCTCTTCCTTTTCCTTGAGTACTTTAAAGCACAGACAGGCCTACTTTGTGAATATGAATTTATTCTTAATGTTTTGTAAAATAAAATAAAAATAAAATAAAATGTTTTTTTAGATGTATTATAACTCAGACCCAAATTTATGACTCAAGTGACTTGTGAGATTGATTCACTGTATGTCTGGTTGCCTGTAGAAGACATTGAATTGAAATATATTGATATTGTTTCTTAGTTGTACAGTATTATAATAATGAGACCTGTGCAGTGGCTTGGGTTTGAAGGAGGAGCACGAGCCATCCTGCATGTGCCTTGTCATGTTCAGTGCATGGAGCCTGTGGTGTGGCCCTTCATTAGACCCTGAAAGAGCTCACTGTGAATGGGTCAGACTGGGACTGGTTCAGCCATCGGCACAGAAAAGTGTTGTGGCCCTTTTTTGATGCAGGATAAATCAGTTCCTTGCTAGATCCATTCTTCACATTTGTAGATTTGCTCTGGCTGTGCATGTGGAGTTGGATGCTGTTGGTTGTTGTATGGTTAGACCAGTGTTTGCTCAGACTCATGACAGAAACTCTGACACTGACACAAAAGTGAACAAAGCTTCTTTGTTTAGGTCCAGGCCGAGGACTGCAGTGGACACAGTTCTGGTCTGGGTCTGGTCCTGTTTGAGTCAGCTCTATCTCTGATTAGGTCTGATGGGATAAATATTAAGTCTGTTTCCTATTCTCACAGTGGTAAAAATAGTCCTGAAATGCATCTGCCTTCTCCTACCTTTTTATATTTTATATATCAATTCTGGAAGTATTGCAGATACATTGGTAACACATTATATTTACATAATGTGATGTAAATATATTAAAAGAAAACAATGAGAAATGTATATTTTGATTTTAAAATGTGGCGGAGTAAATGTACCCAAAAATGCATGAAAAACTATAATAAAAAATATATATAACTTTAAATGCACTTTAATTTTGACTGTGAAAGCAAAATAAGAAGTTTACTGTTCGGCAAACTGTTGAATTTAAGAATATTAGTATATCAGTGTAGTCAAAATAAATACAGCTTACCTCTGCACTGATTTCCAGATGGCAGTTCATTAAGTATTTTAAATATTTTCATCGTAAATAATCAAAGACCTTAAAATACAGTTAAGAGATGGTATAGACTTGGACTGTCTGTCTCTTACTAAAGCTGTATGCCTCTCTCCTGTGTTTTCAGATATTACCGGGGCACACATGGGGTTATAGTGGTATACGACGTCACCAGTGCAGAGTCATTTGTCAACGTCAAACGATGGCTTCATGAAATAAACCAGAACTGTGATGACGTGTGCCGAATATTAGGTGAGTTTGTCCTTGACTATGACTTGTGGTAAAAATGCTGCACCTTCACTGTAGCTATGGGACACTGTCTTCCTCAGTCCACTGTTTAAAGGTCCTATATTACGCAATTGACTCTTGTGAGCTTTAATTCAAGTTATAATGTCGTTAGATCCTCAAAAATATATCTGGAGTTGTGTTTTGTTTCATTCACATCCTTTAGTATTAGTCAGTCTACAACTCTAAATGGTCCGTTCCACCTTGTGATGTCATGAAGCGGTAGTTTTCATGTTAGCTGCTTTTACCTTTTGTTCAGTAGAGATTGGCAATTCCAGGCTGAAATGTTCTATTATATTTTTTAAAAAAATGAGCTCCGTGTGGTTTCGAGAAACACATGTCCAAATCATTTTAGATATAGACTAATGAACATGAGACCTATAATTTTAGTTAAAGGTGCAACTTTTCTGGTGGAGGGTCTGCCATATTCTTTTCTCCGTTATTGCTTTGTCTGGAATGTTTCGCAGTATTTCGCATTAAACCTTTCTATCTTCATGGAGACCAAACCAGACCAAATTGCAGGTCAGGTCTGTGGAATGCCACTCACAGTTCTTCTAGAGTTCTTTGAGCTATAAACCACCTGTAATTTAATACATGTAAGTAGCGCTATTTGTCATACTGTAGAATATTCCAATGCCATATCCATAGAAAGAAGTAGGTGACAGACCCCCAACCAGAAAAGGTACACAATGCACCTTTAACATAACTCAAAAAAGAATTTTATTAACACATTTTGTATTTGATCTTTTAAATGTATACTTTCATTAGACTGGCAAACTACCTCTTTAGGTAGTCTTTAGGTCTTTAGACATAAGTTAGCACATAGCTGTATTTTGATTTTGGAAAACTGACTATTGGAAAAATGAAATTGAAATTGAATTGCAGAAACACGCTTTTGCTCCATGAATGTACAGTGTGAAAGAATTACATTTATAATATAAAAACTCTGTGCTTCAGTGTGGTCATCCCTGTGTTTTCTTTCTGTAGTGGGGAACAAAAATGATGACCCAAACTCTAAAGTGGTGGAGACGACAGATGCACAGAAGTTCGCAGAGCAGATGGGCATTAGCCTGTTTGAGACTAGCGCGAAAGAAAACATCAACGTGGAAGAGGTAGGCATTGTGTGCGAGCTACGCCTGGTATGTACCCAGCATGCCTCAAGACTTACACAGTCGTCAGGAGTCAGGCGTAATGAGTCTGGTCCGATGAATGAAATTGAAAATATCCTGATTCAAAAATGTTTTTCAGTTGATACTGACAACTAAGGATGTAACAATAACCGAAATATGGCGATATCGTATCGTCAGAAGTCTCATTAATATCATTGGCTGTCACAATATATCAGATTATAAGTTCCGTTGCTTAAATGCATTGTTTTATAGTAGCAATGGCTAATAAAGATAGGGAAGTACATATAGCATGATTCATTTCAGTGCAGACAACATGAAGAAATATGTTTTTTACTTTAATTCTTGCGATTTATGTAATAATTAAGTAATAATTCGCACAAAAATCTTGTCAAGGTCTTTTAAAAGCAAAAAAGTATCCTATCTACAATTATATTATCCTTGCCAAAATATTGCAATAAATATCAGGGGCTGGGAAGTTAATCACATTATTATCAAGACAGAGAGAGTTATTGCAATTTGTCAATGATCAGCTCAGGTTTAATCGAGAGGTCCACAGTCAATCATGTGTCAGTATAAGGATGTGGTTTGGAGCAGAGTTCAGACTTCCTGTTAAATGGCCTTAATTAAAAGACTGTATTGATTTATGTTCAATTCAAGAATTCAAGTATTAATTCAAACACATTACATGTAGCATAACCTGCTATTTCATCTGACTTTTTGTAAAGGACAATGTGAAAACATTTGCTCATACTCTACAGGGGCGATAGTAGCTCAGTTGGTCGAGCGTTTGTCCACTGATCAGAAGGGTGGCCTTTTGAATCCTGCTCTCCATATAAACATCATTAGTTGAGCGGTCAGATCCAGTGACCCACAGGTTGGCGGTATGATTCCAGCTCCCACAGATGAATGCTGCATTTGTGTCCTTGGGCACTTAACCCACTTTGGCACTTAACCCACTTTGCCCCCAGTGCGTTTGTACACTGGTATATGAATGTGTGGGTGGGTTCCTTGATGTGAAGTGCTTTGAGTGGTTGAAGGTGGAAAAAGCACTGTATAAAGAGAGTAATATAGTTTATTGAATGGTGCATCTTGAAATCTGACTTATTCATACCAAATGTATTAGACATTATCTTTAAGTTCTAAAACAGGTGTTGTATCAACACCAAAACTAAGAAGAAACAGGCTCGGTGGCAAAGCGGTTAGCACTTTTGCTTCACAGCAAGAGGGCAGTGTGGGGCCTTTCTCTGTGGAGTTTGCATGTTCTCCCTGTGCCTGTATAGGTTTCTTCCGGGTGCTCCGGTTTCCCCTACCACTATGGACATGTGCAGTAGGGTCCACTATGGGGCCAACTCCTCCCCTGAAAAAGAGTGTCAGCTCTCAGACCCTTCACACATGTACAGTACAACACATCTCAATCCGCAGTGAGCCCTTTTAATAATGTTGTGCTTGTGGTCCACAGATGTTTAACTGCATCACGGAGCTGGTGCTCAAAGCCAAGAAGGACGTGCTCGCCCGACAGCAGCAGCAGCAACAGAATGACGTGGTGCGACTCACTCGAAACAGTAAACGAAAGAAAAAGTGCTGCTAGCAAACTCCCCGCTAACCTCACATTTTTGTCATCGACCCACATGCATTTTACACCCACGGGACTCAGAGCATCTAAATTAAAGATAAAGTTTAATAAATATACAGTTTAAAAAATGGAAAATGTCCCCTTTGGACTAATCATAAAGACTTTAAAGTGTACAGATTTTATTAGACGTCAAAGCAAGTTTTATTTGCATTTCAGCAGATGGGCACTATCGCATATATATCGAGACCCTTGTTTGTGTAAGGGTCTGGAGCTTACAACTGACGCCATGTTGCATTCACTGTCCCATCTCCGCCCTCTTTTTCCTCCTCATTTTCCTCTTCCTCCTCTCTCCACTGCACACGGGACATTCAGAGCCAAAACCTCTGCGTCTTCGAGAAGGAGGATTAATTTTTGTGGATCTATTTTTCTGTGGTAATTTTTTTTTTCTTTTCTTCTCGGAAGCTCTTTGAAGGGTTGTTAGTTTGAAAGAAGTTTGTGATGGTTTTAGACATCCGTGTTGCCACCTCAATGCATTTTAATATGGAATTAAAATCACAACATAGAATAATAGCGACAAACTAACCCACAAATGGACAGAACTGCTGACCTGTAGTTTTTTAACTGTCTATATATTGCCAAGCTCCCCACCTTGTACCGTCTAACCTCCACTAGTGCTGAGCCAACAACGTGATCAGTTTTATTCCACCATTTTTAAAGTGCAACACAGCAGTGAAACTTGGTGATGTACCACTTTAACCACCAAACTTCACTGCGGTCTTACTATGCTTTTAACTCCTCTCATTTTTAATACATGAATACTGCCAATATTATTATTATTATTATTATTATTATTATTAAGAGAACATGCTCTCATTGGACTGTTGCCATAGCGCCCCCAGGTGTTTGGGGGTATGACTGTTGAAGTGCTCAGGGCTGCCCTCCCTCTTCCACTCTTCTGTCTGATGGTGTTTTTCTCGCAGCCACAGGCATCCATGTCCCAGGACCATGTCCACAAGTATCGCGCACGTCTCACACTGTATAAAAAGATGGATAGTTTGTTTTGACCTGTTCTTCTGCACTATGTAACTTTTCGGCTGGGGGTCCATCACCTTCTTATTTCCTTGGGTATGTCATTGCTCTACTTCAGATGTTCCACAGTATGACATTAAACAGCTCTACCATACGTGTATTCATTTACAGGTGGTTTTATAGCTCAAAAATACCTGAATGCGAGTAGAGGTGCCTCTCCACAGATCTGACCGGTAACTTTATCTGGTTTGGTTTCCATGAAGATAGAAAGGAAAGAAAAGAAAAGAAAAGCATTTGATGGCCCCTCCACCAGAAAAGTTACACAGTGCAAGTTTTAAAGGAGACATATGCAGAATTCACATTTTGAGCTTGAGCCTATTCTATACATACCTATTGGAGCTTGTATTTAAATCCATAAATCCAAATTGGTTATTATTATTATTTCAAGTTTCCATAGGCACAGACAAAATTAGATGCCCTGTATTTTACCGTTTGACATAGTTCACCCCCTACTGTGGCCACATGAGGGCGCCAGATATCTAACTTATAATTGAGTAGTGCATCAAAAACAACGTTAAATTCCAATGAAAACGTGTTTTTAAAATATTCCTTTTAATGACAAACTTTATTATTGGACGCAAGATCTAGCTTTAGCTTTTAACCCCAAATTGTCATTCTTCAGCTAATAGTGTATACTACAGTAGCTATTAGTCTAGTTTGGTTAATGTTATAAGATGACTGATGGAAGCTGAACTTGAAAAGTTTTGTAAGTGTATAGAAAGCACGTTGCATGGATTGTCATCATAAAGCACCTTAGTGGGATGTGACTCTAAATGTGAAGATATATTGTCTTGGCTATAATGCATTAATAGAGCAATAATGTAAAAAAGACATAGAGGAAAAGATTATCCAAATTATTTTTTTACCTTCATATCAACTTATATTTTCTATACATAAATTATGTTGGAGCCAAGCTTCTCTTATGTGCAAGGATTTGTCTGGTCTTATAGGACCCGGGACCCTTTGAGATGTGGGAAATGGTGCTTAATTAGCATAATGGCAAGTAGCAAATGTATGACAACCAGTCTACTTGAAAATGTGTGTTTTAAAATAGGAATTCTTGCAGCCTACAGCCCTCTATCAACTTTAGATTAGCCAAAAATAGAACTGAATAAATATTAACTGCCACACTTAAATATATGTAAAGCTTTATGTATTTACTTTAATTCGAAGTTAACTCTTCAGCGTCTAATATTGCCCAGTATCCAAGAAGCTATGTTGTTATTTTTGTACATATATTAGACTTTTAACCATAACAAATTAAAATTTAAATGGCATCTTTTACATTTCTGTGTAATAGCTACTCTTGGTATCCTACAATGACGAATAATCTTAAGGTGCACTACGTAATTTATCGGTTGGGGGCGTCACCTGCTTGTTTCTAGTTATTGCTCTGCTGGGAATGTTCCGAAGTATGACATTAAACATCTCCACCATACATTTATTCTATAACAGGTGGTTTTACAGCTCAAAATATTTAGAAAAACAGGCATTCTGACTGTGAGCGGGGTTGCCTCTCCACAGAACTGACCTGTAAATTGGTCTGGACTGTGTGACATCCTAGACAAGCAATAACATCATGGAGAAAAGCATTTGATGGACCCTCCACCAGAAAAGTTACACAGTGCACCTTTGATATTGTTCAAGTGTTTAAATTGTATTGTCTCTTGAACTCCTGACTGAAAGATAATTCTAAACTATTTGATAAGCAACACTGTCCATCTTTTTATACAGTATACAGAATAGTGGACCTCACTTAACGCCAAGATGTTTTGATGTAATTTTGTTTTTGTGCATGAAAAGTGTTAAATATCTTCTCAAAGCATTTTCGAGGTGTAATATTCAGTTTTGGTCCTGGTTTGCCTGTACACGTTACTGTACAACTGACACGTTACTGGACATTGTGTTTCATTGAAAACCGTGGAACTTTGTGAACCAATGAAATTCTTCACAATGCATCTCTTTTTACTGACATTTAAACTTTTATTTTTTTGATTTGGGAGAACAAGTGAAAGGAAAAGTTGGATTCTTTACCTCCGCACTTTGGCCAACAGCAGTGGCTGAAAAAAATGCTATCTAAACTCATTCAACCTTATCATTTCTATTCATTACGTGTATGTATATATAAATATATTTGTGTGTTAATATTCAGTATGAGACCTGCACACAGAGAGCGTTTGACTGTGCGGCTGTCAACAAAAGAGAAGTTTGAGATTGACGCAAATGGGGCTGTATACAGTAGCTGTAAAGGTAATTCCAATTATAAACTCATTCTCTGTCAGCATTTGAAGATGAATATAGCAACCTAGTATTAAAAATAAAAACTTTTATTGTTTTAAATGTCAAAATTTATTAGGATAAAAGTATTCAGATAATTTATATATTCTATACTCATTTCTATGCAATTGAAAAGCTGTTGTCTTCATATAGACACAATATGACTATGGGGGAGATAAATATTGACTGAAAAAAAGATTAATTTACCATATTGTTTTTTTCGATCCTCAAACTAAATGTGTTTAATATTATAGCTTAAGTACAAGTACAATCACACCTGTGTAAGGCTATAAAATGCTGCCAGAGATTACATTAAAGGGACTGTTTGGAATTTTGGACATAAGGCCTCATTTCTTAGTTAGTCAGAGTGTTGGAAATGTGTGGAAACACTTTTTTAAATACTCCATCCAGTCCTTGTATTTGCAGAGGTCACTGGTGCTAGGCTAGTGCATGTCAATGGCCATAGTTAGCCTGCCACTAAAAACAGTCTTACCCACTCCACAAAACACCCAAAGCAAAACAATTATAATGCCAGACTGTCGATGTGAATGTCCGTGACAGTAGAATAATTTTTGAAGTAAAACCAATCTTGCATTTGAAGGATTTATGTCTGAGCAGCAGCAGCGAGTTGTACTTCCTGATAGAAAGCTTGGCAGTGGCGGACTGACATATGAGAAAATAGTCCCTGACAAATAATGCGATGCAAGTTAAATTTTATTTCAAACATTATTCTATCAGCTGGACAGGATGGAATATTTAAAAAAGCGTCTCCACAAGTCTCCAACACTCTGGTTACCAAGGAAATTAAGTCCTATGTCCAAAATTCTGAACTGTCCCTTTAAACTAACCATAAAACAGGTTATGCAGTTTGATAATTAAATAGCTAATTCTGAATTCTTAGCTGTCATGCATCTCTAGTTTGAACCACACATTGTTTAGAAAATTTAAGGAACTGCATACAGCCTTATTTCAATTCAAACCCTAATGAGCAGTGTGTGCAATGTTGGGAATCCACTCGGCTGTGGTCTGCTGTACACTGGAACAGATTTGTACTTTTCATTTCCCCACATCAGTTTAATCAATGATCAATAAATAATATACACTTTAAAGGAACAATATCGGACATGTGACCATCTCATCTGTCAGTGGCTTGGTCTTAACTTCATTTGCAAACCTGTGTCTTTCTGTTTATTTGCTTTTTCTGTGAATAAAGATTATATGGGAGGAACTGTGCTTTGGTCTTTGGCAAGCCTTTTACTTGAAACTATGTTAACATAGCATCAGATTTTTTTAAAATAATGAATTAAATGTACAATAATATGGTATAAACAGTCTTTATTTAAACAACAGTATGTAATTTTTCAACATTAAGTGCATTGTGTAACTTTTCTAGTGACGAGTCTGTCAGATACTTTTCTCCATGGATATGTTATTGCTTTTTCTGGATTGTTTCACAGTATGATATTAAACCTTTCTATGTTCATGGAGACAAAACCAGACCGAGTTACAGGCCAGTTCTGTGGAGAGGCAACCCCGCTCACAGTCAGAATGCCTGTTTTTCTGTGTATTTTTGAGCTATAAAACCATCTGTAATTGAATAAATTTAAGGTAGAGCTGCTTAATATCATCCTGTTGAACATTCCACCTAGAGCAATGACAGGTAACAGACTATCTACCAGAAAAGTTACACAATGCACCTTTAAATAATGGCACTTTGTTGTATTACCATGAGGTGTTATATCCTTCAGTTGTCCTTTATAGAGATCCATGGGCATATACTAATCTACTAATCTACTAGTCTTAATATTTCTTAGTTCTAATTAAAAAAAAAAAATATGTAAAAGTTATTCAGGAAAGGTTCATTTCCGTCAGTCTGATGTGACTTTTTTTTTGGTACTGATACATGCCCAAGTGACTATCTAGTTTCTATGTATTGGTCCAGAGAGCGGAAGCTGTCATGTGCTTTCTTTACCAAAATTAATGAACCTGAGATTTTTGGACTTTCCAGGAGTTTGATCGTGCTTTCTCATGCTTCTTTTTTATTATCGATAACTGCCCAAATGAGTGTCTAGTTTCAAGTATAAATTAGTATCTGTTTTTCGATACTTTTAACAACCCTAATATAAACATAAAAGCAGTCATGAACTACTACTATCATAAACATCATGACTATAGTGATAATATGTTATACTGTACTCCATATTTTATAATCTATAGAAACATATTCTCAGTCAGAGTACAGAAATAACTAAATACATTGACATAAACTTTGGATATTAGATTATAGATCTATTTCCCATAAAAGCACAAGTCAGGTTTCTAAAAAGATATTTAATTGAAAAAACATTAGTCTACAGTGTCAAAATGTGAAAGATACAAACAAAAACATTTGAAGATATAAGACAAATGAGACTCATGAATGGTATTGATTTTGACAAACAGAAAAACATGATATAATCTAAAGTATTCACCAGTAATTAAGAGAAAGGTCAAAGGGTATATTTTTAAATAGGCTCATGTCAGTTGGTGTTGGAGAGATTTTAATCATACTATACATTTTTATTTATGACTGGTCATTACATTTTAATATTTAAATTACCCTAAAGCTGTCAGTTGTGCGTTGTATAGCAGCTTTTTAAAAATATTTTTGACAAATTGAATTGTAATTATTGTAAATTGTCCATTTACATTTGACGGACTTATCACATTGTCCAAAAAACATAAAACACAACACTTTTCTATTGTTAGCTTTGACAAAGTTATAGTTTTATCAGATTGTTTTGAGATTTTGTTGCAAATATAGGGAAAAAGTGAGAGACTGGACAACAAAAGAGTGACAAAATGAATTCTACAAATAACTTACAAGTCATTTTATCCTAAAAATATTTAATTGAAAAAACTTCCATATAAATATATCACTTTTGACCAAACCTAGTCAACATTTTAGTTATAAAAATCAGTCTTTGGGTTGATCCTTCCCAACAATTAGCAATCGAACCAAGACATCTGCATAGCTGCTTTTTACTCCAGGTCAAAGCATCAACGAACCAGGACCAGCAGTTACATTCACATTCCTTATTATTATTCAGTGGTGGAAGGTAACGAAGTACTAAAGTAAAAGTACAACATTTAAGTACAAATTTTAGGTATCTGTACTTTTCAGTCAGCTTTACAGTGGATGCTTTTTACTTTTACTTCACTACATTTGAGAACGTGTATCTGTCCTTTCTACTCCACTAGATTTTAAATCTGGACTGAAGTAAAAAGTACTTTTTTTTATGGTGTGACTTTATTTTTTAGCACATTTAATTTGAGTTTCCATTGCAACTTTGAGCAAACCAAATACACAAATACACAAAAACAGCTAGAAAAATCAATTGAATCATTTAAAATCAGTTTAATTCTTTATCAAAATCACTACATTTCATCCTTTAATCATTATAAAAATCTCTGCTAAATAATTCTATTTTTCACTCTTTAAGTGCATTTTTAAACAGATTCTTCAGTAGATTTTTTCATGTGATACTTTAAACTTTTTACCTTTGATCTGTACTTTTACTTAGATAATAAAATAGTACTTCATCCACCACCATTGTTATTACCCATGAAATCAGATATGGAGTTTGTAAGGAAGCCCAGCGGGGTCAAACAAACCAAAGTGCACATGAACCGTTGAAGATATCTTGCGACGCAGGTCCAGCAATCCACCTCTTTGTGATTCCTGACATATGGCTGCGTTCACACATAAGTCAAGACAGATTTTATAGATTTTTAAGTATGATTATAAAGTTTGAAATCCAGAATTGAATCGAGTCTGGATATGTAACTTGGAGATAAGACATTGTTTTAACTTCTGTGAGTGGACGCAGCCATACTCAACCCTGCTTTTCAAGTTGATGTAAACATTTTGTGGGTTTGGTCGATTAGGAAGATGATTGATGTCACGTGGACAGTGTAAGTGCCGTTTCTCAAAATAATGCATGATTTTTATGTTAAAGATTTTGATGTAGAAAAATAACATATCTTTATTATTATGATCAAACTACAGCCCCAGTGGTCCATTCATTTGTCACTGCTATAAGAGGCACACAACAAGCTGCTCTCGACTGGACATGATATATGCATAAGAGGGTGAGCTTTAAACTAAAGTGCTTTTGATGATTAGAACTACAGTATATCAAGGCATTATGGGAAGTATATTGCTGTAACTGGCACCATACCATACAGATTTTACACAGAAAAAGTGAGGCTATCATTTGTCTAAAACTGGAGGAATTTATCTAACTACAAATTCTTGTCATTTTAATTTTTGTGTTGTGTTCTAGATATGTTCAATAGTCTTTGTACAGCATGGGTTTTATTAAAATTTTTGGTGGCAGTGATAGTCTTTGATTGGTTTTATATGCAATGTTTTAATACATTTTTAGGAATGTAAGAAGCAGAGGTGGGACCAAGTCACTGTTTTGCAAGTAAGTCTCAAGTCTTTGACCTCAAGTCCGAGTCAAGTCCCAAGTCAAATACAGGCAAGTCCAAGTCGAGTCTCGAGTCACTGGCTCATAAGTCCAAGTCAAGTCCAAGTCATCTACTTTGAGCTTCAAGTCATTTCTAGTCTTTAAACCAAACCAAATATATCTTAGATTTTTGCTATTTATATGAATTTTAAAATAATTATACTCAAAAAATCATGGTATATTTATATATGAGTATTTATAGTTGTATAAATGGAAGGGTTGTGTTCTGTGTAGTTCCCTCTGTTTTACACTATTGCACTGTATATTACTGTATATTACTGTAGTACATTTGAGGATACCATCTCACAGTACTTCAGTTACAACCAAAGCAATGAACAGAGAAGTGACAGGGACATGTACCAGTTTATTCCTGTAAAATTAAGCACCACATTTATCAGCTGTAAAGAGAAAAGTCTTTTTTAAAAACATATATTTTTTTTAGGAGAAACATCAAGTCTTCTCAAGTCACTGACCTTCAAGTCCAAATCAAGTCCCAAGTCTTAGTCTATAGTCATCTGTCCAAGTTACGACTTGCAAGTCCCCAACTCTGGTAGGAAGTGTGGGCATTATCCAGGAAATAACTAGGAGCAGATCTATGGATAAGATCATATTTCAGTGGGAGTTTTAGCAGTACAAATATATAATTCAAGGAAATGTTTAGTATTTTAAATGTTTAAGTTCCAAGTTCTTCGACTAGTGTTCTATAGAAAAGAAATAGGTTGTGTATTTTATATTTTGGCTGCTTAAGGGCAGCATCAGCAAAGTAAGTCACAGTGACCAATTTTGGAAATAAAGTGCATTTTCCAGCTGTAGCCACTTAGGTCCTTATATTTATATTTTTATGATTTTCTCATTCTCGATCTTGCATTGCATACAGTTTATTATATTGTGTTAGAGCAAACATTGGGTAGCTAACAGGGATTGTTGGTTAATCATAAATATTGAGTCATGTGACAGCATTCATACAAAAATAGCAGACCATGAAAGTGCATTGAGAGATATGGCCATATATAAACTATTATGTTGATATCACAAAACTATATATGGTCAAAATATGTTTCTTTGTATTGGCCCAGAGAGGTAGCTGTTGTGTGCTTTCTTTAACCAAATGAATGAACCTGAGATTTTTGGAGTTTCCTGGAGTTTGATCACACTCTCTCGCTGTCATACATGTTAACCCTGGTTCAGATGTGCTCCTGTTGCCATAACTACAGGCTTTCACTTTCGTTTTCCACATTCGGCAGTGGGCAGAGAAGACACTACAAACACCTTCGCTTTGGAGGTAAACTGAGCATCTTTTGTGAGTAGCATTCTTGCACCAGCTTGACCAGTAAATAGGAAATAATGGACCAGTGAATCTTCGTACAGCATCAGGACCGCAAAGCCAGATTATCACTTTAACATGGCTCCTGTTAGTGGAGTGTATTAGGCAAAATTGTGTGTGTTTGGAACAGTTTGACAGCGCTGAAATTAAAAGGACAACCTACAAGTCAATGCTGGTTTTAAAAGAAATGTGACGATATGTTTATTTCATATAATAATCATTTGCTGCATATGGGACTCTCTTATGTTTATTACTATTATGTTATGTTCATTCAGACTAGTAGAAGCAACTTTTGCTTCTACTACTTAAAGTAGTTCAGACAGTTCAGAATTTTGGACATAGGGCCTCATTTCCTAGTGAGCCAGAGTGTTGGAGATGTGTGGAGACACTTTTTGAAATATTCCATCCAGTCCTTGTATATGCAGAGGACACTGATGCTAGGCTAGTGCATGTCAATGGCCATAGTTAGCCTGCCACTAAAAACAGTCTTACCCACTCCACAAAGCACCTGAAACAAATCTGTTATTACACTAGACTGTCGATGTAAATGTCTGTGTTGATAGAATAATGTTTGAAATAAAACTAACCTTGCATCTCATGAATCATGGCATGTTGAGGGACTATTTTCTCATATATCAGCCTGCCGCTGCCAAACTTTCTATCAGGAAGTACAACTCGCTGCTGCTTAGACATAAATCCTTCAAATGCAAGGTTGGTTTTGCTTCTAAAATTATTCAATTGACAGACATTTACATTGACAGTCTCGCATAATAATAGATTTGTTTCAGGTGTTTTGTGGAGTGGGTAAGACTGTTTTTAGTGGCAGGCTAACTATGGCCATTGACATGTGCTAGCCTAGCACCAGCGACCTCTGAAAATACAAAGACTGGATGGAACATTTTAAAAAGTGTCTATACACATCTCCAACACTAGGAAATGAGGTCCTATGTCCAAAATTCCGAACTGTCCCTTTAACTTGTAAATCAGTAACTAGAGGAAAGCTTTTGAACTGGTTCATAAGCCAGATCCATTAGATTTCAGTATAATTTTCCAGATAGTTTACAGATTTTTTTGGTGGATCATATTAAATCCATACTTACTGTTAGGATACGGCAGTCTAGTATCTTTAAAATAAGGATTTATTTTGGTAAGAAGTGGTGGGGCTAAAATGAAAGACTATTGTTCTAATCTAATTTGTACTTCAAAGTTACTTGTAATAGAAGCAGCATTTCCAAGGTGATAAGGCCACACACAGTAACATTATTTTGGTCCATTAATTCCTATGATGACAAGTTGCTCACCTGTAGATAGTAGGAATGGGCAGAGAAAGTGCAAAACCACCCCGTCCTATCTGTACCCCTCTTTGGTGCCCTCTCACCCCCCTCTCCCCCTGGCTCCTGCGTGACTGTGTGCTGCGGGACAGTCCATAAGGTTCAGTTCTTTTTGAAGAAAGAGAAAAGTGTCCTGTCCCGTTGGTGGATGCGGCGAGTGCGTCTGGAGCTCTGTCCTGCCAGAGGGGGGCGCCACTCGTCCTGATGTTTGTCCATCAGCTGCTGGTCTATCACTCTGTGCATATCATCCTGAAAGTTGAGTAACAAAAAAGCATGTTAATTTTTTTAGGTAAAAAAAAATTGAGATAGATACTTTAAATTCCGTAATGTTAGAAAATCTTCCCTTCTCTTGACCAGGAAACAGTTCACCTTTAAGTTTAGTATGTTGAATAAAACAATGTTTTTCACCTTGTAACGTAAACAAAATGTTATACACAGTAAGTGACAACAACAGCAAAATAAAATTCTGTTTCACTTGAGATAATCATACATCAATATGATAAATATGACTCAAGATGATCTTCCACAAAAGACAGCGAGGGACATAGAAGAGTGATTTGTAAATTAAAAGTTAATGATGGGATGAAATGGTCCAGTTGTGATCCGTGAAGCTGAGATGAGACAGGGGGGCTCACCTCTAAGGCAGAAGGGGGGGCACCACGGGGGAAAGAGGGAGGTACGGAAGCGGAGAAAGGCCACTAGATCAGAAACCACAAGAGCCAAACAGTAAAGAGCCCTGAAGAGGCAAACTGTGGGCGGGAGAGAGAGGAGAGAGGAGCAGGTTACAGATGCCGGGATGGGCTTAGAGACTGGAGGGCTCATTTAGTCTTGTTCTAAGTATTTAATTACGAAGGATTTAAAGGGGAGTTTGTATTATACAGGGGGCATTTTCACAGATAATAAACCATTTAAAGTCCACACACCTTCACCAGACTTATTCAGATCACTACAAAGTACCTTCATTAGACAGCAAACCAATTTCAGTGCAGGCAGTTCTTGTTTTTGGTCTGATTTCATCTGTCTCACATCTCAGTGGGTTGTTGTTTTTAGGTGGAAGTCAATATTTAGTGGTGTTTAGTTGTTTTCTATAGATATTAAGTCACACTATACTAATATTTATTCAGTTCAAATATTGCATACGCAAACGTTATCATAGTTTATATTATACTATTATTATTCATTATTTTATGTTGTTTCATACTGCAGAAAAACATTCCTATTCATATGAGTGAATTTTGTTCCCTAACAATGGCACTGATAAATGTTTTCTTATTCTGATTCTGACAAAATTCAATGACTAAATGTAGTATTACAAATACACAGAGTTATATTTGTTCCTATATTTGTTTACGATGATGTTAGAAGGATGAATCAATTTCAACTTAACATTTGGAGATAGGGCAGTTAGGTTAAGTTGTTAGTTAGTAGTAAGGCAAAGCCTAGTACAGATAAAGCAATGAAACATGATTTCAGTCTTGTTCTACACTGGCTTTATATAAATGAGCCTAGTTGTCTATTACACACAGTGGGTCATGTGACGCACCTGCCATGCCTCCAGCTGCTGCGACAAGTTGAGTTTCTGTTGGATGGCGTCGAGGAGTTGACTGTTCAGAGACATGATGTCAATCTTACATTTTGCCAACTCCATCTCCACCGCCTTTTTCCTAAATACACAAACACAGGGATGGGAATGCTGACTTATGCAAAATGAAAATATATAAATGTGCATATAAATATGATTAAACTGTTTCTCAATGTAATAAGCAATTGGAAGTGCTACATAAAGATGAATTTGCACTCCAGTAGTAAATATCATGGATTTTTTGTTTAGTTTCGTTTATTAAGATCCCCATTAGCTCCAGAGCTTGGTTGCTACTCTTCCTGGCATCTCCTCATATACATCACATACATTTTTCATTTAGATTTTTACTCAACACACACACAGCGATGCATGAAAGCCTAATGTGAGGAAAATAACCACAAAAATTGCTTATATATTTCAATAATTCATATCTGCATTTTATTATGTTTATGCATACTTGGCAATGGCCTCATCACGGTCCCTGATGGCGCTCTGGAGCTGTTCACTGGGCTCTCGAACCTCAGACATCGCTCTTATTCTGTCGTTCTCCTCCCGCAAAGAGCACATCTCCACAGACAGCAGCGCCATCTAAAGGACACATCATAGAGTTACAACAGACAGGTGTAGGATAGCACAGATCCACTTAGCCAACATGCACGTCATCATCTATAACCTCTTAAAATAGTGATACAGTATTTTCTCTGCTAACTAGGTCCACTGAGGACTAAGGCATGCGAAACAAGACCCTATTGCAGATTTGATGGGACCTCTAGATTCTGTTGAGTTTGCCTTATCAGCAGTAGCTGTCAAACAGAACACCTCTACAGTCATTACAGTGCTCCTGTTTTTGTTACATCAGTGTCATATGCAGTGGTACCTGGTTGGGAATTGGGTTTGTCTCTAGGGTTGTCAAACGTATTGAAAATCTAATGCAAATTGATACTAAAACCACAGTAGTATCTTAATTAGACAGTCAAGTATCAATGTTAAAAAAAATGACATTAAGTGGTACAAAATTGAGATAACTAGTACATAGTAACAAAGAAAGTATTATCATTTTGTGTCAAATTGTCTATTGTCTGTTACATTAGTGCCATGTGTAGAGGTAACTGCATGTGAAGTGTGTTTGTTATATCAGTACCATGTGCAGTGGTACCCATTTGTGCTTGTTACCTCAGTGCATTATGTCTGTTAAATTAGTGTCGTGTGCAGTGATACCATTTCATGTCTGTTATATTAGTGCCATGTACCGTGTGCAGTGGTACCTGTTTGTGTCTGTCACATTAGTGCCGTGTGCAGTGGTACCTGTTTGTGTTTGTTACATCAGTGCCGTGTGCAGTGGTACCTGTTTGTGTCTGTTACATCAGTGCCGTGTGCAGTGGTACCTGGTTATGCAGCTGTAGGACCTCCCCCTGGCTGCTCTGGCTCTTCTCCTGTTCACATTCATACAGCTCTCTCACGTCTCGCAGCTCGTCCCCCAATTTCTTCACCTGCTCCTCCAGCGCCAGCTCCTCCTCACTGCGCCGGGAGCCCTGGAACACACAAACAAACACAGATGATGCAAGAGACGAAAGTACAATGTGATGACAGCCCTCTTTCTAAGACGCCAGTAGAAAACAATATTCCTACTTCAGTGATCTGATATGTTTGTAGGAACATGTTTTTGTTCTTATCCACTAACTGCAACTGAAGAAAGAAGAGTTTACTTTTGCTACGATTTCAGTCACCAGGAAGCACTATTTTCAGTACTGATTAAAAAAAAAATTATTTGGCACCTCAATCTTTTTGTTTGTCATGGCTTATTAGTAAATGGAGTTGTGTATTCTCTAGTATATTGTGTTTTAGGCTTTGTGTTTCAAGTATGTATATACTCAGTCCATTTTACTTGACTAATTCTAATAAGATGTTTTGCTGGCTTTATCTAGTATCAACATGTATGTGGATTTTATTTGGCCTTTACTGGAAATTTCCTGATGTGAGTCATGAAGGTTGGATGCCAGTCCTCTGGGAAGGTTTGCTGATAAAATATTTCTGAGGAAAATACTTGAATCTAATGATGTCAACAATAAAATCTTAACCCATTCTTACTCAAATGTTACTGAATATGAAGCTGTTCTGGAAAAGAGTAAGATAACTTATTTATGAATTGAAGTGTGACTAGTTACAGATTTGAATAGACATTTAACCCTCATTGATATAGCGCCCCCTAAATAACTACAGTAATTGCAGTAGATTGTTGGGCTATTAGAACCAATTTGATCCAACTGTAAAGGGGCATTGTGTAACTTTTCTGGTGGAGGGTCTGTCACCTGCCTGTTTCTATGGCTATGTCATTGCTCTGTCGGGGATGTTCCAGAGTAGGACACTGAGGAGTTCTTCCTTACATGTATTAAACTATAGGTGTTTTTTTTTTTTTTTTAGCTCAAAAATACATAGAAAAAACTGACTGTGAGAGGGGTCACCTCTCCACAGATCTAACCTAAGGTTTATTGGCATACTGTGAAACATTCCAGACAAAGCTATAATGTTTCCAAAAACATGACAGAAAAATTACACAATGCATCTTTAAAGTATTTGAGAGTTTCTATATAAGTGGAGGGCACAGTATGCTATATGTGTGTTATATGTTACCGTGGACTCATTGCCGTCGAGCAGGTTTTGCGTGAGCCTCTTGAGCTCTAGTAGACTGGCCTGGAGGCTGCCTGTAGGCACATCTTTGGCAGAGGAGGTCTCTGAGGACTCGTCCATGGAGGAGTCTGTGGACAGGGCTGAGTCTGTGACATCGTTCCCCCGCAGGTGAGAGCAGAGGGCACGCACGTCGCAGTATGCCTCCCACAACTGGAGACGCAGCTGCAGAGGACAAGGAAAAGCACAAATGTTATTAGGTAGGCTAGATATAGGTTATTTCATTATCAAGTACATGCATTTAAATGTGCAATGTGTAACTTTTATTCACTGCAGGTGATTTTATAGCTCCAAAATCAGGCATTCTCTATACACATCTGCCCTCTAACTTAGTCTGGTTTGGTCTCCATGAAGATGGAAAGGTTTAATATCATACTGTGAAACATTCCATATATAATATATATATATATATATATAATATATATATATATATATATACATACATACATACATACACATACATACATACATACATACATACATACATACATATATAATATATATATATATATATATATATAATATATATATATATATATATATATATATATATATATATATATATATAATATATTATTATATACATACATACATATATATATGTTTTTTTTTTCATACAAAACGGCAGCAAAGGGTTAAAATTCTTCAGCTTCAAGGTAAGGTCAAAAATCAATATAAAGTCGAGTTAAGGCCACACACACTAAAGGATTTTTCGGTCTTAAACGATTTTTAATATGCAACAAAAAATGCACACCACAGCTATAAACTAAAGCTGTTTGCTTTGAGGTGTACTATTAGCTTTGTGGTGAAGTCAAATTCATATAAATATTATATTGTGTTTTTGGGATTACATTGGCACTGATTACCTGCTCCCTCTCCTGCTCCAGCTCCTCCTGCTCCATGCTCTGTTCGATCTCACAGAGCAGACTGGAGGGGTGGGGCTGGAGGGACGTCAGGCTGTGCTCCTCCGTCAGCTCCTCCAACTGGGCACTCAGCTGTCTGTGGGACATCTGCACCTCCTGGAGTTCCAATTGGCTCTGACGAAACTGGGTACAGTAAGTAAGAGGTTAAAGTCCAAACATCACTGATTTAATTATCTTAGGCTAGCCTAGAGAATGGATTTAGTCTGTGAAGAATAGGTTATTATAGTGTATCAGCCAGGGGGTTTCCTGGGAGGTTGTGAGGCAAAGTAAAGGGCCAATATTACGCTGTTTTCTGATCTGTGTTATAATGTAGTTTCTTCATCAGAAACATACCTGAAGTTGTGTTTTGTTTCATTCACACATGTTTAACACACAACACACAGCATATATAGGCTGAGTTCTTCTCTCAAACAGAAAACACTGTGTTTTTAAACTCCATACGCCTTCACTAAAATCATTTGGATGATTTCAGACTTGGAATTGCCAGTCTGTACTGAACTAAAGGTAAAAGGCAGCTGTTTACATGAAAATTACCTTGAAATGGTGTCATATTTAGAGTATTTAGAGCTTTGGAGATGTAGACAGACAAACAATAAAAGGTTCCTTCCAACGTGTAAATGAAACAAAAGACAACTATGTGTTTTGTTAGTACGTCTTTGATTAGGTAACGACATTATAACATGTCTTAAAGCTCACAAGAGTCAATTTTGTGTAATATAGGACCTTTAAAGTTCACACAATTACAGTTAGAATGTGTCCTCACAAATGCAATTAAGCTCAAGTGTAAATCTAGTGGAAAGCCAGCCATTGTTCCGTGTTAGTGTAAAAAGAGTCTTTGGGGCAGTAGTAATTTATGGTCTCCCTAACCTTTAATTAAAACTACAATCCAAAATCCAACTCTCTCCTACTATATATGCAGCATTGAATATGTTTAAATATGTGTATATATTCAGATATGTTTTACTTTAGTTGTATTTGTGTATTTATTATTTAGTTTGTATAGCCAGTATTACCACTACTGTTATTACTCCAACTAGTTGTATAACTTATGGCTACTTTTAAAATCTGCCTTGAGTTGAATCTAAAACATTTTGGTTATGAGGTAATCCTGCTACTTGACCAATTTTGATTAAACTCCAATTCTTTCATGAAAATGGAAATCATTTTCTCCCCAAAAAGTAAAACAGATGTCTATTTTCAACAGTGTTTATACTTCATCTTTTCCTTTCAGCAAATCATCCACCTTCAACTAACTAAAATAGATCAAATTATTCAAATAGATATGTAAAATACTTGTTTGTTGCTTGTGTTTCATCAGCAGTCATCTTAGTTTTGGTTTAGTCCATAATTTACTAGGGATGGGACAAGCTCTTGTGCCACAGTATCTCATGAGATAAAATTGCTACAAGATCATGCACACATGAAGAAAGTGATCTTGTGAAATTGTTTTCCATTTAGCTTACATCTAGATTGGACGAAAAGAGTTGAGGGCTGGTAAATGGCATCTCTTGTGGAGCTGTGATTCCAGAAATAAGGTCTATTACTACCACAACAAAAAAATGTAATTAGGAAATGTTAGGCCAAAACTGCAAACGGGATCGCACAGTTGTTTTTTTATGAATTATTTCAAAATCTCATGTCTCGTCTTGTGGAAATTGTGTCTCGTCCCACTGCTATAACTTACACATAATAGCAGTTTAATATACTCCACTAGTTCTCTAGCTCTAGTACTAATTCTTCCCATACAAAAACACTGTCAAAACTTAGTTCTGTCTTGTCTCACCTGTAGATCCTTGTCGTGGCACTGTCTCTCCAGTAGCAGCGTCCTCTCCTTTAGCTCATCCACTGTGTTCTGTAGCAGCTCGTTCTCCTCCAGCACAGAGTTCACCCTTCTCTCCAGCTCCATCTTCCTCTCCGACAGCATCTTAATCTAGCAGCCAGTCACACCGTTACGCCACAAGGCCATCACATAACCCCAAAGTAAAACTACCGCGCTGATAACATGCCGTGAGATGATCGTCAATGGTACCAAAACAGATAAGCATTTGATTTAAGGTTACATTGTTGTTTTCTTTCAGCTCTCTGCTTGCACAAGCGATTCTGCTACTCCCCCTGGTCTGAAGAATGCAGTTGCTAAGAGCTAAGTGGGCGTCCAGTGCCACCCTTGTCTTCAGGAATGTTTTGTTGATAAATTTGTATGTGGATTTAGAACGCTATAAGTACACTCATCCTCTTTCATTATACTAGTTATGATCACAGCATCAACAATTTAAAACAACTTTCTGTTTATTTTGGAAATTTGTGGTTTGTTTTGGGAACTATTAAACTACAGACAAACCAAGTTCTCAAGGTGAGCAGTAGATTACATTAAGACATCTTTCCCTAGTCTTTCTGTAAACTTTAGTCAACTTTGATCTTTTTTTTATTTTAAAGATGCAGATGTAACTTGTCTGTCCTTGGAGGGTCCGTCACCTGTTTGTCTCCATTGGAGATGTGCCTAGAATATTCCACAGTATAACTGTAAACTTAAGAATCTCCATTTTAGTAAGTAATAAGTAACATCTGCAGTTGAATAAATGCAATACCATACTGTGGACAATTTAAACAAAGCATTAACATCTCCATAGCCTGATTCATCAGCCAGTTTCACTTCATAGAAACTGTCTGACCTCGCAGCTTTAGAATTTGTTTGCTCGACGGTAGGTGGGTACTTTGGTTGTGACGTACGTAATGCGCTGCTAACAGGGATAACTGGTATATTAAGCTTTTCCCAAATCCCTTAGGAACAAGGACAATAACGTTTCCCCTTGATAAAATTCACCAAACATTCTCTTTGTTCCAGTTTGAAATCCTCGATCTCGGGAATCATTGCCAGTACAGAATGTATGGCTCTTCGCTGATTGGCTGATGCCCGAACTCGCACTTCCGGGGTTCTTGCAAACTGCATAGGTGGCGCCAGCCTGGCTAACATCGCCATGAAGACAAACAGATCCAGAAAAGTTACACAGTGGACATTTAAGTACTACAATCACAACTGAACCAGGGCTGTTAGTGTTTTAACCTGCAGATAGAGTGGTTTTCTAGTACATGGACAGGCCTCATGTGAAATCTCAGAACCTCCAGGATTCATGCCCTGAGCTACAGAGGCTGCACTAGCGCTGGTTCATGATTGGCTGCTGGTGCTGCTGTTTAGATAGGATTATGATCAGACAGAGTCCAAATGTGAGGCTCATTCTGCTTTCTGATTCAAGACGAGAGGTAACAGAGCCTTTTCTGTGGCAGCGCCCAGACTGTGGAACAGTCTTCCTCTTCCTGTCAGATCCTCTCAGTCTGTGACACAGTTTAAGACTAGACTGAAAACTCACCTCCTCCCCTGGCATTTAATACTAGCTAGACAGGATATCTTGGTGACAAGTTTTCTTGTTTTGTTTGTGCTAAATAAATAAACTTGAATTGAATTGACTGGATAATCGTCTCAAGATCTAAATAAATACATTAATTAATTAAATTAAGTAACTTATAACATAAATAAAAAAACATCATCATGCTTAATATTTTTGTAATTAAGAATATTTCTAATTATTCACGTTAGAATTATAGCAAGTCAGTTTAGTTCAAGTTTATGAAATACAGTTCCTACAAACTAACTACAAACTGCTAATTGAATTTTTTAATGAATGTATTCAGATACTTTCACTTGATCAGAACTACAGACATCTTCAACTGTTGTCAATTCTGACTGAGATAAAGTTTTATGCCAAGTTTGTCTGTTATTATATTATTATTATTATTATTATTATTATTAATATTATTATTAATATTTATATTAATATTATTATTACTATATATGGGGAGAATGAATAGCCATGCTACTTTTGAAATCAGGTCTATCTACCTCCATTTTTGTCAAACTTGATAAAAATCCTCACAAAACAGTTCGTTTAACACATCATATCTGAGTAAAGATTTTAAAAAGTCTAAATATAGTTAATTTCAATTGTCAATGCAGTAATGATACACCTACTTAGTCTGCATTCTCAAGACATCTTACTGAATCCCTATCTAGTTCATTTTTATCCCAGCTGCTTCTGACCTACATCTTCAACCCACTTTTCTGCAAATTCACACTTGCTTCTTCACACCCTCACTTAAATGACAATCTACATTTTTTTGATATGTTTTACACAGCCAAAGCATCACACAAATGAAACAAAAACAACACCATCATCAAGCCAGCATTAGTCACCACTGGATGACATAGAAAGTGCGTTGGAAAGTGGGAGCTCCCAGACATTGCAGTGGATCTAAATTTAGCGCTGATGTGGTCTCCCAATTATAGAGCAACGCTGCAGTCTGCTATTCTCTGCATTTCAACAACACTCTCTATGCATTGTAATAAAAGTTTGAAATGAATGAATGTATGAATGAGTAAACTGGTGAATAGCAAGAATTATGTACATTATTTCATGCCCTAAACAGTTAGTTCACTTTAGATCAGGGGTCTCCAGCCTTTTTCCTCTGGTGAGCTACCTTCATAAAATAAAAATGCCAGGGAGCTACTCATTTTAGCAGTCACAAGAAATTGAGTAAATATAAGAGCATTTTATGGAGATTGAGTACAGTTTGATGCCTATAAAACATTTACACAACTATTATCCATTTAGTAGGGCACAAAGAGAGGCCCCAAAATGATACATTTACAATGATCATAGGCATTTAATTAAATCAAATTTGAGCTCTTCAGCACACACAATACGTATGATTCAGAAATCCCTTGGTGAGCTACTTGCTCCCAAGCTACAGGCTGGAGACGCCTGCTTTAGATCATGCAACATAATGAAACAGGGAATTGTCATTTCAAACCATTTACCATTTCACTTCACTGATCCATTTTTTTAATTGCAATATTAATACTTCATCTTGAAGGTGCATTGTGTAATTTTTCTGTTCAAACATTAATAGACTTTATGCATCTGTAAATAGTCTTATTACATCAATATACATATCCAAAAAGAATATCAACTGAATCGATATTTGGAAGCTGATATCTGATCCAGCTAACTTTTTAGAATTGGTGCAGGTATCTGATACCAGTATGGAACAGACGCATACCTAATTTCAGATACGTTTGACCAATCTGATCTAGAAAACAACAAACAATGGGCACGCTAGTGTGTAATTGTTTGTTGTACTACAAGATGATTTAAAGTTATGACTGTTTTATGGCTTATGACTTTCATCTGGAGGCAATAAGGAACCACAGTGCAGGTTTCAGATGGTGCTTGAAAGATATGGAGCTAATTCATAATATAATGAACACTTATTATAATTGATCACGATCGAAATCTCAATATGAGTTGGCACAATTCAAATCATAAAACATGTATTTATTTAGGTAATAAAATATTCTCTCCAAAAACATAATATCCTGTCTTTTTCTATAAAACACGATGTGTACTCTGGACAGAATCGTGCTTTATGATCTACTGAACATAATATTTATCATATCAGTATAATCAGAGGTGAGTAGAGTTATCAAAGATTTTACTAAATTCAGAGTATTGCCAGTTCAGAATAATATTTCTCAAGTAGAAGCACAAAGTAGTGGTCCAGCAATATACCCAGGTAAGAGTAAAAATGTATTTGGGAAACTACCACTCAAGTAAGAGTAACTGTAAAAGTCTGGACATAATATATGATTCATAGTTTCTTTAGGCAAATTGCAAAGACAAAGGCTGTATTTATTTAGATAATATAATATCCTGTTTTTTATAGACTGTTGTTTAAATTACGTGATCTGAACAGAATCCAAATTTTATGACAAATGTAATCTCAAATTTAAATTCAGCATAGCCTGTGGTTGTTCTGTCTCTGAGGATGGAATCTGATTCATATTTAGATTTTGAATACATTTTGCATAGTGATTTGATTTAGACTTTTTTCTCATTGTTAAAGGTGCACTATACTTTTCTGCTGGATGGTCTGTGAACAGCTTGTCTCCATGGTGATGCCAGCACCAAATTTTGGATCCTGGATACATCATCTTGGGCTCTGTTGTCTGCTGAAGAATGCACATTATAGACCTTATGGAGGTCCCTCTCTGCACTGGGCCCTGGGTAAACAGTGCCCTTTATCCCCTGTCTGATGACATAGCACTTACCCTCTAGAATGATTTTCATTTTCTACTGCTCAAAAATACCATACACTCTCACTGTGAGTGTGCTCGCCTCTCAAACAGATCTGACCTGCAACTCGGCCAAGTGGAGTCAGCTGCCTCTCTCCATGGAGGTAGGTAGTTTGTGTGCACAAATTTATTTCAGTATCATTATCTGCACATTACAGTAAATTCATTCTGATATCATAACTAGGTAGAAGTTAAAAAATATATATATTCTCCTAACCCTTATTCCAGAAGTTAGTAGTTAGCTGCAATGCATGCTATGTCTGCAAAACTGATTTATTCCAGGCCAAGCAGTAACATCTCTGAGACAAGCAGATGGCAGACCCTCCACTAGAAAAGTTGCAAAGTGGACCTTTAAATCTTTTTAGTCTGAGTTTACTTCTTTGTTTGAGACTTTGCCCTTGCTGAGATGACTCTGTGTTTCTTGTGTGTAGTCAGTGGACAACCCCTGTTTTCAATGGACCATGTGTATTTCCCATGCAGCATGCAGTTACAGAGACAAGGACAGCGGCCGGAGACCACTCACTTCTAGCCCTTGCTGCTCTCACAAACAGGAAGAAATGGTGAAGAGAGAAAACATATTATAAGAGCTTCTGACAGCTGTTCTTTGTACCTGACAGACACAAGTGAATGTGATTTCCCTCTGAGCTCAATAATGCAGTGTACTGTACTCTGTGTGCCAAGCTTTTCACATTGGATTATGTAAGGGCACTACTGGGGCCTGTGCACTCTGCGATAATGAAATAAACTTGCGGTAAATTGAAGAGTGTATATATATTTCTGAGTTTCAGATGGAATCACAACTCTATATTCATGCGGTATATAATATAAAAGATCAATAGATAAGGGTGTTATATACAGTACATTTGACATTTATTATATAATGTGCTCTTTTGTACCACTACTGGACCCATTCTTACTTGTAATCACACACGTATTCATACCAGAGTTCTGCACAGGTCCATTTTTGGAGACCTGCACCTGCTTGCACCCACGCAGTAAAGGAACACACCCGCCCATTAACCAGTGATTATATCAAAGTTAAACCCGCAACCGCCCGAACCCGTTAACATTCCACCCATTACTCGCCCGTGCCCGTGATAAATCACACACAAATTAAAAGCATTCTAACTGAAGCATCCATCAGAATATGAATTGAAAAGTTACGACTTCAAGAATTACTATCACAAAATGAAATGAAACGGTTACACTTTCTTCAGTACGAATACAAATTCACAGAGGCAACTTGACTGTCATCACTTCACAGGCATTATGTGAAGAAGAAACATTGATCGAGGTGCCGCACTTTTGCGCCACACAACCGGACTGAACAAGGACTAAACCATGACTAACCCAGGACTAACCTAGGACTAATTCCAGGACTGAACCAGGAGGACTAAACCAGAACTGAACTAGGACTCACTGTCGGGACGGGCTTGGAGGTGTGCCCACGTAGACTGTCGGGTGACCGTGAAAGGACCGGCGCAGAGCTCAGCGCTTTGTGGACACCCTGCTCCATGAGCTCGGAGTTTTCTTTCTCTTAAGCCCAAGATTAGTCCTGGTGTAGTCCTGGTTTACCCATGATTTAGTCCTGACCCACCTGTGAGTAATTACTACCCGCTATTACTATTTGCTAATTACTATTTGCCTGTACCAGGTTGGGTACCCACAAGTGCAGGACTCTGATATATACACATGTGTGAAGGGACAAAAGGCAAGTTGGGTAAAGTGCCTTGCCCAAGGACACAATGGCAGTGTGCATTCTCAGTGATTTATTTATTTTTATTCATATACTGCAACGTGTGAAGAATCGCTCAGTCGTCCAGATAGAATCCATGGCGAGGAGAAAATTCAGTTTGTTGACTGGACAAAAGTTAGTTTGTTTGAAGGCGGAACTGAAGAAGCAGCTAGGATGAGCTGTGAAACGTCTTCAAACAAACTAACTTTTGTCCAGTCGACAAACTGAATTTTCTCCTTGCCATATACTGCAACATGAAATTGATAATGGAATACTGCCTGCTGTTCCCACATGAGATAGCAGATAGTAAACTAACAGAGATTTTAAGATGCTTACTACTGAAGTTAGTGTTCCCAGCAGAGTTTCTCCATTACTCTTTTCATAATTTTAGCGAATACTATTATAACTATATTATAACTATATAATACTATTCCCACAGCGCTGTGTATAAGAAGTACAGAACAAATTTGCATAAATATAATTTAATATAGTGGACATAAGAGCATCTTACCTCTGCCTGTAGGGTCTCCAGCCTCGTCATGTGCTGGCTGGTGGACATGCTCTTCTCCCTGAAATCATCCCGTAGTGAAGTGACCTGAGTGGACAGCTGCTGCTCCACCTCTGCAGCCTGGATGAGAACACAGCACAGGGGAATACTGGTCATTTTATTTATTTATTTTATTTTTTATTTAGTTAGTTAGTTTGTTATTTTTCAGTGAGACAGTGAATATTAATAAACATTACAATATGCCAGATGGTAACAGAACCCCTGGAAGCTCAAATGTTCATGTACCAATAAATTTGTTAAAATACAAATAACATTCACAATTACATAGTTATATGATCATTTAAAAAAAAATCGAAAACAAAAAACAAACAAAAAACATATAAACTTTCAGTTCAAATGTTTGTTAGGAGTTTTGGTAATAGTACTCCAGTTTGGCAAATCGGACGAAGCCAGCAATGTCATCGTAGCTGCTGTGGAGGAAGAGGAAAGTTGTGGCAATGGGGCGAGGAAAGGCAGGGGATAAGGCAGCAGGAATTGTGCAGGCAAAATAGGTAAAGTCGTTGTCAGGCCATCGTAAAAACTGTAAATCATAGTCATACTGGTTAAAAGAATTTGAATACCATATTTTCCCAGTTTTACTGAGCAAGATTTTTGTGAGGAAGAAATTAATCGCCTGCCTGGTCTCAAATAAAACCCTGGTCTGTCAAGTGATTGAAACAAATAAACGCCCCTGCTATTATTTGGTATTTTACCGTAGTCGCTTTTTAGCATTTCCTTTAAATGCCTGAAACGATGGTGCCTCTCCCACTTCTTGTGACTCTGAGTTCTAGTGATGTGAGGCTGTGAATGAGAACACAGTCTGGCTAAATGCTATTTTCCTCAGAGGGCGGGTGCAGTCCCCTCTGAAGGTGCCTCTGGTGGTGCCTTTGGTGTGTCTGTTAGATTGGACAGTAATAAAGGAGGAAAGAGGAAGTGGAGCTAAACCATGCAGAATTTTAAACACTAAACAATTACGATGCAGTTTCAATAGGTTTTCCCAACTCAAGAGTTTGTGTTTGTGGAGGATGTGACAGTGGTGATAACTCTGGGGCTTCCTCTCTAATACTTACTGTGCTGGTTTGTATAATGATTCCAAAGATTTTATGGTTGACTGTGTTTAAGGTGGAAACATCGATAAGAAATAAACTGAAATAAAGTATAAGACCACACAGTATACAACCATGGACCACTCTGAAACCTACTTGGACTACTGAAGGATCACACGGACATAAGACCACATGATAAAATAAAAGAAAGTACTACGATTTAAAAGTGCATTGTGTAATTTTTCCAATGGAGAGTCCGTCAAATGCTTTTCTTCATGGAGGTGTTATTGCTTTGTCTGGAATTTTTCACAGTATGCGATTAAACCTTTTTATATTCATGCAGACCAAACCAGACCAAGTTACACATCAGATCTGTGGAGAGGCAACCACACTCACAGTCAGAATTCTATTTTTTCTAGATATTTTTAAGCTATAATTACCTAGAATTTAGTAAATGTAAGGTAGAACTGTTCAATGTCATCCATAAAAACAAGCAGGGAATTGACTCCAATGAAAAAGTTACATAGTGCACCTTTAATCTTGTAAATGACATTCTATTATCATCATTATTGAGTATCAAGTCTATTCATTAGTATCAAAATCGAGTTTGAAATCGTGACCGCACTAGTCTATTCAAATCTCAAGACACAATTCAGATATCCTTTGTCAAATTTCCATGGTCCTATATTTGCATGACTGCTTAAATATAATAAGCCTTTTTAAATCAAGTTCTGAAAAAGTAATTTCCGTTGCAGAGCGTTCCACTGGCTAAACCAAGCGTGCAACCCCAGTTTTTATATTGTTATTCAAAAGCCATGACCTTTTAAGCAGCTCTCTACAGTCTTCTTGGTGTAAATCTAGTACAGTGTCAGATATCCAAACGAAAACTTACACTAAAATGAATGAGGTTCCTGTTTCTCTTTCTTTTTTGTTGTTTTCAGACTTAGATTTAGACTTGAACAAACTTTATTAATCCACAAGGGAAATTTAAAAAAGAGAAAAAATATATAAATGGTATAAATGGTAAGCAAAAATAGCAAGAACTGGTGTTAAATAAGGCATAATTATACAAATGCATATGTCCAAGTAAAGTAAAAAAATATAAACATAGTAATATAAATACAGTATATCACAGTTATATACAAAGATTAGTGCTAATTCAGAAAGTGGACCACCGCTCTACAGTTCTTCCCATCAAGAGAGGGAGTAAAATTATTCAGTTTTCCATTTTCATTATTATTTCAATATAATTTCGGCCTGGTTTGGGCTCATTGGCCAGGTGCGATCAAGCCACTTCACAGTCAGCATCCGCCTCATTTACATATCACAGCGCTGCCATGGCAACCACCAAATCCATCAAAATACTGTCTCACAAGGCTGAGAGCAGGGACAGAGTAAACAAGCGTGTAAGGAGTGTAGAGCTTATTTACAGTATAAACATGTGCACCTTCCCTTGAACTATATCTTGAAAATAAGGTTTTAAAAAATATATTACATTTTTTGTGTATTCAGTATGAAACTATAACACAGATCAGTGTATATTTTGGTAATTGTAAGTACGGTATTCTAAAATGGTCTAAAGGTGCATTGTGTAACTTCTCTGGTGGAGGGCTCATCAAATGCTTTTCTACACGGAGATGTTCTTCCTTTGTCTGGAATATTTCACAGCATGGAATTAAATCTAAATCTAAATCTTCATAGAGACCAAACTAGACTAAGTTACAGGTCATATCTCTGGAGAGGCACTCCTACTCCCAGTCAAAATATCTGTTTTTCGAGATATAAAACCACCCGTAATTGAATAAATGCAACGTAGAGCTGTGGAACATTCCAGGCAGTGCAATGAGATATCCATAGAAACAAGCAGGTGACCAACCCCTAACCAAAAAGTTACACAATGCACCTTTAATAACAGAAACAGATTCACTGACTTAATTTTCCCAACTGCAGAACTGAGAGGCCCTTTTCCTTTATAGTCGCACTTTACCGTAACAAGCTCTCAAGCAATCAAGCCTAGAAAAAGAGAACTGAAACATGTATGAATCAGTGGAAATACAACTCCGAGTACATTCATGAAGATAAAAATAAACATTACATATTACATTAGGTTAGGGTTACACTAAAATGAAACCATCTTACTAGCATATTACGTACTACTGTTGCCTGCATGCTCTATTTATGGTTTCAAAGTGACAAAGTATTATATTTTTGAATAGTAAAAAGTGCTCAAAATGGTATCTGTTGAAATTTTACAAGGTTGCCTTTTTAAAGCTGGGACCAGACCCTTAGCTCAACAGGTTTCAGATAGAGAAAAATGACTGATATTAGTAAAGTTGCTTCTGTTTTCTTCACATCCTTGCAGTTCATAATAGGGCTGCAATATGAATCACAATCTGAAAGCACAGGCTGCACGTTCTGAAGTACCAATTTCCATCACAAACGATTACATTTTGTCTTGTTCTGGATAAAAACTTCTACCTCTGTTGCTTACATCTGTACAAACATGTTCTGAAATGTGATTCTTGTATTAGTTTGTCAGTTCATATTTCAGTCTTTCTGTCACTTCTTCTGGACGTGTTTAAAATTGAAGGTGCACTATGTAACATTTTGGTTATAGGTCCATCACATGCTGGAATGTTCCACAGTATGACATTAAACATCTCTATTTTTCATTTACTCAATTACAAGTGGTTTAATTGCTCAAAAATAAAGACAAAAACATGCATTCTGACTTTGAGCAAGTTTGCCTCTCCACAGATCTGACTTTTAACTTGGTCTGGTTTGGTCTCCATGAAGATAGAAAGGTTTAACGCCATACTGTGAAACATTCTTAATAATATCTCCACATAGAAAAGCATGTGACGGACCCTCCACCAGAAAATTTACACAATCCAAAATATTAAAATATAAATTGCAAATCTAATCGCAATTGCAATGCTTGTCGGAAAAATCATGATTAGATCTTTTTCATCAGATAGTTCAGCTTTAGTTCATAACACCTCATGCACGTTTTCCCAACTATCTGAAATGCTAATCCTATGTCAGCTCTCTGAAAGTGCTCCATCCCCGAGAATAAATTCTGAGGTAAAATAAAGTCCATGTAACTCCATTTAAACCTAACAGTAAAAGTTTATCTAGAGGCTACTGGTTCCTTTGGGATTTTTATTTAATTCCTTTGCAGTACTTTCATAGTGTGATCTGCAGACAGCCAGATGTGCTTGTCCAATTTGCAGTCAGTGGAGCAGGGTCGGGGGTCAGGGGGCAGAACCGTGGCTGGCGGGTGACCTAGTAGCCGAGATAAAGGCGTAGAGCTGGAGCAGTAAAGCCAGTGGTGAGGATAGAGGTTTAATCGGAACAAATTCCTCCACTCCAGAGCGAATGGGAACGAATCACATAGAGGAGGAATCCAGGACAGAAAAGTAGGGCTTAACGGAGAAGCTGGCTCCTCTTGGACACAAAATACAGTATATAAGTAGCAGGTGTGTACAAAAATATTGAAACATTGATATATCGTATCGTTTAATGTGATGATACAGTATCGATATCGTGGGCTGCTGTAATGATATATTGTATTTTTTGGTTTATTTTACTAAATTATTTTGTTACAGCGCTACAGTTTGAGGAAGGAAACTCTTATGCAGTACATCTGACATATTCATTCACTGTTTTGATGATTAAAATGGGGGGAAAAAAGAGTTTAACAAAGACTTTTAATACCACAGCCATGATTCAGCCTTTTTTTTTTTATTGAACCACATCAAATCATTTTGAAATGTATCATATCGAATCAAAAGTGCACTGTATCGAGATATGTATCGCATCGGCAACTTCTTAATGATAGCCAGCCCTAATAATTAGGTATGTAACAATATCCATATCTCTCTGTACAATATTTTCACTATATACATCTCACAGTACGACTATGTTGGATCCCTCTGCAACCACTCCATATTGTTAGTATTGTTTTGTTTCATTTCATTTACATTAAGTTAATTACAGCACATAATTTAATTCCTTTATGTAGACTTATATTCT